GGAGTTAAATTTTATACACATTAAATATATAAATAAAATGTTGGTAAGCTTCAAAAGGCTTCCATTTCACATGAAGTCACATGAATATCAGTAACACAAAGTTCCTGTTCTTACCTCAAACTGCTGAAATAGGACATCCTGACCAACTCTCATATACACACACAAACCTCCCTCAGCACCCTCCCCCAGACAGACAGAGAGAAAGACACACCCAGTTCATGCCTAGACATCTAAGGTATACTCACAGAATCAGCTTCTCACTTTCTGCTCCTACAACTCTCTGATTGCTTCACTGCAATATAAAAGGCAAGCAAACCAATCCCCCAAATTTCCCCCAGCAACATTAGCCAAAACAAAATCTCCTGAGTATATCATCCCATACAAAAAAATGCCCATATGGGTCACAACCCACCATCATCTAAGCCAAATCTGTACAAAAGAATGACAGGTGGAGGTTTTAAAGAAACCAACTCTTCAGAACCATCCCTCAAAATTCAGATTCATTAGGCTTGGGAATAGGGCCCCACCTCCTACATTTTTAACAGTCCCAAGATTTTGCAGCAAGTTTGAGAACCAAGGTGCTCAGGATCACCTGCAGTACAAGAAAGACTCTTGCACTTATACATCCAAGGGTAAGTTGGGGGGTGGAGGGGCTTTAAAAATCTCTTACCCTTGTGATTCTAAAATCAATAGTAGTCACCAAGAGTCAACAAGAGTAGACATCCACCACCAACACTGCCAAACCAATCTTAAATCCAGGTATACAATTACTACAAAATTTATAAGCCACATCCACAATGGCAGGCAGAGAAGAGAAAGAAACTGACAGCAAGTCTGCCCACAGCTCTTGTAGATTCAGAAATCCTATTCTTTATGGGAACATCTACAAGAAAGACAGAATACAATCACATGGATACCAAAATTATTATCCTAGTGAAACACTTAAATCACCACTTTCCCCAACTGTGGCTCCTAATTTCCAAAACCATCATAAATTCTCATAGCGGACTGAAAAGTCCTTCAGGAGCTGAACTCATGATCCCTGACACTTCTCACAGCATAATCTTGCTTATTCTCTTTTTGTGCCTACACAAGTCTCTACTTTTTTATCTCCCACATCCAGACTTTTGTTTCCCAGTTTTTAATCACTCTCTGAGCTTCACCTGCTCCTCTAAGTCCTCTAATTAAGCACAGCTTGATCTAGATGTATCACTCACCCCCACAGAGCCTGCAAGATTTCCTACATTGCTACCAGATGTATTTGAGAATGCTTGTATAGGCTTGTAGTCCCAGGAAGAGCTGGTCAATCTTTATAAGGCTTTCCTTTAATTTATAAAATCGTCAAATGCAGATATGAAATTATTACTGTAAAATGTGTCTCTAGAGCACAAAGTGCTAACCTGTGTACACAACATATATTCCAAAGCATTATAAAGATGTTCTCCAGATACCACATGTACACTCCAGAGTTCAAGTCCCCTACTTTGAAGAAAAGGGAGTAAATATGGCTCTGGGTACCTTTTCAGCTTTAGTCATCATTCATTTAATTTACACTTTCAACTCCAGAGAGTGGGAAATGGTCAATGAGTTAAGGAGACACTCACTTAAGTGGGCAGGAATATGAACAAGGGGGAAGGAAACAGAAGACTGGCTTTGAAGTACTTCTGCAGAACCTCCCCCTTCCTGGGAACACATAAACCAGAATAACTAGATTTCAAGTTATACAGCCTACCAGATAGGATACTAGGCAGATCCTAACACATCATGAAAACAAAATTGAACAAAACAAAACTTGCCTTGAAAGCACCAGCCACATTCTGAGGTCATACTTAAGTTTGAAAAGTGTTAAGCCTCCTCCTAAATTCAAGTTGCTATGCTCAACTTGAGGTGGGAAGGGAACACTAGTTCTTTTCTATTATTTTTAGTATAACAAAACAACATATATGGAAATCAGAAAGAAAAATCCAGTTAAAATCTCACCACAACAGATCAAACCATCTTTAAATTTCCACAGAGTACCAGTCTGTAAATTATATACTCATTATAGGCAGAGACTCGGGTCCCAAAGGATTCAAGAGCAAAATCTACTTACAAAATGAACTTTAACAACTGGCTTCCAAAACCGAATGACAATTATAGCACTGCACACACAGAACTGACTTAAAAAGAACTCTTTCTTCCAAAATACTATCGCAGCCAGGTTAGGATACAGTAAAAACAGAAAGAAACATCACTGAAAGCACCACTCTACTAGAATTGGGCTAAAAACCTCCCCATCTAGCTGCCCAAGGCAAAAAAACAAAAAATATCAAAACTAAATAGAGCCCAGATCTAGCTGATTATTTATGAAAAACCTAAGAACTCTGTCTTACTACACCTTTCCAAGTTGTGAAACAGTAAAAGCTGCTAGAATATTAAAGTGACCTATGAGATTGGGAAATTAGCTGGTCCTAACAATCTAGTTTTTAACAATTCTTCCAAAATAGTTCCAAATCTTGGCCTTTCATTTAGTAAACATATCTCTCAGATTCAGATATCTGGTTAGATGCAGAGGTGTGACAGCAGCAATGAACTGGACACTTCAGCACTGCAAATTCCAATACTATTATTCTATTAACTACAGAAATGGAAAAACAAAGTGTAAAAAGACAAAGGTCAACTTCTGGAAGTCCTTCATCAAATTCTTTTGTGGGAAAGTACCCTGTACACCCCAGCTTTCTTGGGTCCTACCTTCCCAAATACTCTTTTCTCTAGACGGGTGGAGACAAGAACCATTCCTTGGACTACTACTGTCCCTTATGAAAGAAAATCTCAAATGTCTTTGACCTTGTAAGTAGACTGGAAAATCACAGGCTATAAGGTACCTGTAACATTTGAAGAAATAAACTATTTTTTCTCCTTCTTTGTGCTTAGTTCAAAGCATAAAAAACAGAGACAAGTAACACAGACCCTCTAAAAAGTGAACATAGTAGACTGATAAACCAGAGGAATAAAGGCATCTATATCCTAAAGTGTACTCAAGTCAACTCTGAAATTCACCCAGATGTGTGGCTCACTGCCTAAACCAACATATACATCTGGTAATAATAAACATTGATAAGTTGTAAACAAAAAGAGCTTTCTTAATTCAAAGACTCTACAAACTACTGGCAATATTAAAATTGACATAAAATACAATTAAAGAATATATATGAAATAGACTTTTTAAGATGATATTTCAATTTAAGAAATTAAAAACTGTTTGGTATTTTACTGCCTAGTCTTCAAAACACTAAAATCTTTGATTTGACCAAGTTACAAATCTGTTTTCAGTAGAGACAGAAAACACATTGCCTCTCTTTAACGCAAGGGACAAAAAAGATCATCAACTGCAAATCATAATGTTTGGGTTTATGATGAAAACAGGAAACAGACAGGCTGCCCAGGTATAATTATGGTTGCAGTCTAATGTGCATTCAGGTTCAGCCAAGAATTAAAACCCACTGAAGAGGGTAAGCAGAATTTACTTGCCTCTACCTTGCTACAGAATGCAACTTTTAATAATACTCCCAGCAACATGTTACATAACCAACACTAAACAACAATCTGATTCAAACCTCATTAGTAACAACATTCTGCCACTGTAGCCCAGTGAAATTAATAGCTGACTTTGCCAGAGGGGAAAGAAATGCAACACATATCAATCTACCCATTTCTGTGGCGCCTACCACAGTGAACCAGACAAGTAGATAATACTACCAGATCTGTACAGAATCTACAAAGATTTTTTTTTCCAGTTTGCTGCTCTCTTCTTCCCTTTAACTAGAACATATCCTATGAATGCATTTAAAACCTAAACCTAAGAGGAAAGTCATTTGAGAAGGTTCATCCAAATTTTACTGCCTATTTCAGCCTTGACCTGAAAGGAATGGAAGCACAAAATTATGAAGGGGTATCTGCAACAAAGATACATGAGTAAGCTTATGTGATAACTGCAGTTATGTAAAAAGGACTGACGGAGCAGCAATGTAGAGAGAGAAGAAAAAGAGGATGTTTATAAGGATGAATGATCATGCAAACAATCATGAACAAAAATTAAATTTTAAAAGTTTAAACATAATAAACAATCTTTATGAAGGTTAAATTTTGTTAAATTGTCTCTTCCCAGTTATTTTGTACTTTTATAATTTCAAGGTTCACCTTAGAGTAAAAAAATTGTTACCAAGGGAGTAAAAGAATATAAAATAACTTGTTACAGATCCTCAAATAACCCCTTACTTACAGAATCTGAAACAGACTAATTTCATAATGATACCAGATCAATAAATGTGAAACTGTCACAGTGACTGTAGGTACAACACACACTACCACACTGGCATCTAGCAGAAATTGTAAACTATTTGTAATGTTACTAACTCTGCTGGAACTAAGGTTTTCAACCTTTCAGCTTTCAAATTACACTTACAAATTAATTCGCTCTGGGCAATTCGGGTACTCTAATTAAATTCAAATACCCCAGATTTTAAAAAGAATTTTAAAAACACAGGAACACAAGTACTCTTTCCTCTCAACTCCTGTGAGGCCAGGCCACAACCTCCACCTATCCAGTCTTTGTTACAAGATAAGAACACTTTTGGTAGTGCTAGGCAACAGGCATGATGTGACAAACCCAACCAGACTTCAAAACTTTTTCCACAGAAAGATAAGGTAAACAAGATATACTTAGCACCACACCCATTTAAACGCACAAGCAGCCAGGAATGCTTCACCCCCCCCCCCCCCCCCCCCCCCCCCCCCCCCCCC